CATGCTGGGACTTGAAGTTCATGAACGCTGGCTGGGGAATTCTGGGAGTTGAAGTCCACCTGTCTTAATGTTGCCAAGTATGAGACACACTGCCCTAGATCAACACGGCTCTCCCCCTACAACGTCTGCAGTGAGAAAAGGAAAGTTCAACTTTGAGATGCAGCAAATTCTGAAATCCATCTGAAATCTTCAGAAAAACCAAAGTCCGTCTGCTCATTTTATCATCAGGGTGAATCGTTCTTCCCCTGCCTGGAAGCTTCATCTCACTTCCACTGTGAATCTTCCTACAGTTTAGCATAGGAAGATGCTCCCAAGGAATCCACCAATTCCTAATGATTTAATTTAACTAAAACCAACCTCTCTTCTCTTTCTTTTCTTTCCCCCCAGGTCTGATTCTGGACAAAATCGTCGAAGAAGCCGACCCCTCAGTAGTGTTGGAGCTAGGAACGTACTGCGGCTATTCAGCCATCAGGATCGCTCGCCTTTTGAAACCAAAAGCTCGCCTTCTTACCATCGAGTTCAACCCCGAGTTTGCCTCCATTGCAAAAGAAATCATTGACATTGCGGGGCTGAGTGATAAGGTCTGGAGGATACCAATGTAGCCTTCTTCCAAGCAAGGCAAAGAGGGCTTCTTTTTTTCTCCCTCCTTCCTTCTTGGTTTACTTACTACCGATTCACCTCCAGGGAGTGGGCAAAGCAACAGACCTTCTCAGAAATCTGCATCCAGACATGCTGGCTGGGGAATTCTGGGAGCTGAAGTCCACCCATCTTAAAGTTGCCAAGTTTGCAAAACAGCACTTTAGACTAAGAAAGCTGGAATTAAGAGCTTGTTAAAAGAAGTAAATTGACTTTATGGAAGGATTTTGAGGGAAGGGCACTCTTGAGAATGGCTCCAGATGGGCCCCAGGTGTGAAAGGCCTCTGTTCTCTGCTGGATTTTCTCCTTTGGTTAGCCCCCTATGTGCTTTTCTAAGATGGGGGGAACATTGGCACCACAAGCCACTTTAATTTCCCAGAATGCTGTCTGGGAATCAGGAAGCATTGTGGGAATATGAAAACAGCATCCAGATTTAATTTTCCACTACATCAAGAAAGAAAAGAGTTAGGGGAAAATTCAAGATAGATCCCACCAAGGATCCTGGGGTTCTTTGGGCTCTCAGTCTGTGCTCAAATCAGTTCATTGCTCCTGTTTGCAGGTGACCATCCTTGAAGGCCATTCAGAAGACATTATCCCTCAGCTGAAGAAGAAATACGAGGTGGAAACCTTAGATTTTGTCTTTCTTGACCACTGGAAAGAGAGATACGCCCCAGACACGGTTCTCCTTGAAGTAAGTTAATTTTATGTTTGGAAATCTTGAGGGTTTGGACAGATTTCCCTTCTGTTCTCCTTAAGAGTGTTTTCTACCCCCCCCAAAACAAGTTTTGCATTTTTGCAACCTGGTTGGGGGGTCTTAGAACCTGCTGGTTTCTCCCTCTTGGGCATGAGTCTTATTTTGAAGTGCAAGGAGAAACTGAGTTTGAGGTGGTTTTGCGCCTAAAAGCCTCCCTTCCCCCAACCACTTTAATCCAAAGTTCTAGGGTTGTGTTTCTCAACCTTGGTGACTTCCAAGGGTGGGGACTTCAACTCCCAGAATCCCCCAGGCTGCACAGCCATGGCTGAGAACCCTGGGAATGGGCGTCCAAACATCTGGAAGTCATCCAAACATCCGAAAGTCACCAAGGTTGAGAAAACTTGTTAGAATCCAGTTTTAAGATGGTCCTCAACATCCCTCATCACAGTAGAAGTTGCTCAGAGAGGGCTCATTTTTCCCCTTCTCCTCTTCCCAGGAATGCGGCCTCTTGCGCAAAGGCTCCATCCTTCTAGCGGACAACGTCGTCTTCCCGGGAGCTCCAGAGTTCCTCAAATACGTTCGGAACAACCAACGCTTCGAATGTACCAGTTACCCCAGTCACTTGGAATACATGCAGGTGGAGGACGCCATGGAAAAGGCCGTGTACCTGGGATAAGCGGGGAGGGAGAGAGAACTAACTCGTGTTCAACCTCTGGGTGTACGTGTGAGCACATGCAGCTTAGTGTTTTAGTTTTAGTTTTTTGCCATTTGGGGCCTCTTGCAAGCCTCGCCCCCCCACCAGCCCCATGAGTCACTTGTAACACCATGAAAGCCTTTTGCCTGAATCCTTCGCCTCTCTCCATTATTACAAGTGTTTGAACATCCTTCGCCTCTTTTCTTCTCTTCCAATTTCCTGGTATCCAGATCCTGCCCCCACCCCCAAATAAGTTAGGGAAGCAGAATGGGACAATAAAACAGCCCAAAAAACAACAGCAGTCCGAAGGGCTGAAGAATACATTCCCTCCGCCTCCAGAACCCAAATGCAGTTTAAGCTTCAAGTACTTCACAGCCCAATTTGATCGGTCCTGAAACGCTGTAAGAAAGTGGCCAGCACATAACATTCAGATCTTTCATCCCCAGCAGGGATGTGCGTTTTGGAGAGAAATGATCCTAAACAATCCTGACGTTTCTAATGAAGACCAATTAGCTCAACGAGAAACATTGGCGGATCCCAGCAACTGAGACAGTCTGCTAACATGGGGGAAAAAAAAGATTAGGGTCACTCACCGATGGTTTTCCCCCTCACTGCTTCTCATGTATTCAGGAGCGATTTAATTTGGTTTAATAAAGTCGAGCAAACCCTTCCAAGAGAAAAGTTGAGATTTGTTTGTCATGGTGGAGCTTGCTCATAAACACAAGGAGGAAGAATGCTCGTGCAGAACCAAAATAAGACTCCATTTTTGATGGAATGGAAATGGTACATTCCGTATGGAAGGAGGGAGGTAAAACTGAGTCGTAGCAAACCTTGCAGCTTGCTTGTTACAAACACGTTGATTAGGGGTTAGATCTTTGGTTTACCACATGACTTTAAGTTGGGCATGAAGGGTGAACACAGTCATGTCATCATTCCACCCTCAAAGATTTTTTTTTAAAATCTTGCTAGGGAATTGTGAAAATCCAATTGTGAAAATCCAAATGCATTTGCAAATAGTAATTCGATTGCATGATGGGACTCCTGCAGCGGGCTTTTAAAACCCACAAGAATCAGCTCTTCATTTCTTCAAGCCCCAGATTTTCTCCCTCTAAACAACCTCTTGGAGAAGGGAAACACTTTCCCACTTTTTTTTTTTGCACACTCACCTGATACGATACAATGACCTTTCTAAAACCAAGAATTCATTGTCACCGTTTCTGATCACCAGTTGCCTTAGATTGTTTGAAAGAAGGGCAGTAATTAATCAGTCAGAAGAGACAGTACCCAATACTTGAATTATCCTCAGATGTCAGATGAAAGGGATGGAAAGAGAAAAAAGCAAGAGTGGTAAAAAAATAACGGCAAAATAGCAGTTTCTCACTATGAAACACCATGAGCTTGGAAATCAGTTTCAGGCCAACACAGAATGAATCACATTTCCAGATGATTTCCTTTCAGGCTACAGTCTTGTTTTAAAATTCCCTTTATACCAACTTAGTCCTTTTTACATTCTGAACTGCAGACCAGCCCAGGAATAAAATATAATCCAGTGCAGAGGGGGAACTGGGGACCAGAATCCGCTTGCTCTTAGCAAGAGACGTCAGAGGGGTTCCCCTAAATTATGCCCAAACCAAGTGGTGAACTGGATTTAGCTGGATATCTGAACCAACCACAATCAAAGATCAGATGCACTGGTTTCCAAGTTCAGCCTGGGTTTCCATCTTCCATCCTCCCAGATACCTGACACTGTGATGGGCTCCAAGCGGGAAGGTTTTGAGAGTCATAAAAGGGAAAAATAAAATGGAGAAAGAAAACGCCTAAATTCCATGCCTGGCTAGCCGCATCTTTAACTCACGGCCGTATTAGCATATCTGGGAAGAAAGAGAAGGTATTTCCTAAAAGTCCCCCCATCCCCAGGTCCTGGCTGAGCGAGACAGAAGCCAGAATGTCACGGATCGTTGCAAAGAAAATCCTTTTTTTTTTTTTTGCCAACTATCATAAACCACCACCAAGCCCCGATTTCGCACGGGGAAGCCAGAAGAACGGAGACGACACGAATTCGTTCCAGGCATCGTTTATTGAAAACACACCAAACTCTTAAACCTACACACCTGGTTTTCATCAGCATTCTACTCGTCAGGGTTACGGAAATTCCCTAGAATAATATTAATACATTCGGGTTACGTTAAACATTGGTTGTGTGAAAGCAAAATCCACCCCCCGCTCCCTATAGTCTTAAAACCAAACTGATCTGTTTGTTGTACAGTACAAATACAATGCAAAAAGGGACTGTCCACCCCCAGCCTAAAACTACCGCATTGGTCTTGGGAAGGTTACAGAAAGACAAGTGTTGGTTTGACCTTGTTTTTTTTT